GGCTTGTCCCTGCTTGCTCACAGCCCCTTTCTCCTGGCTGACCCCTTGTCTGCCCAGCTCAGGGCTCACCTCATATCCAAATTTGCTTCTTCCTCTAGGCCAGGTGAAATCCTCTGAGGCTGTCACTCAAAGGGATTTGTGGCTTTTTGGAGACAGCCCTGCTGACTGGAGGCCAGGTCTACCTGGGTCCCTCCAAATCGGGGTTGAGCTGTGGTAAGGGTAAGGCTTGCTGGAAACTGCACTGTGCTGACAAAGAATCTTTACGATTTGTTGGGGGCTTTTTTTGCAAACAGTTGTTAATAATCTGGCAGTCAATTTCCATTTAAATGGAGGCATTAACCTCGGGAGCCCCACAGAGGCTGGCTGGAGTGGGAAGTTAAATACCAGCCTTACCGTGCACTGTTTTAACCTGCTGTGTAGCTGGAGGTAAATAAATTCTGATACCTCTTAATGAGTCATTTTCCTCTGTGATGCTGTTGTCCTGCTCCCCTCTCAAGCACGAGAGAAGGGCTTAGTGTGCCCTCGGTGCCCTTATTTCCTTGTACTTTCTTCACCCTGGGCCTCAAAATTTCAGCCAGAAGTGCTGCAGGCTGCAATGCTGCAGTGGTGGCATGCCGGGGTAGGAGAGTTGCTGTGCCAAAAACTTGCAAAACACAGCAAGCACCCCAGGATACTCAGTGCTCAAGCCCAACCAAGTGAGGCAAGCACAGATACGGAGCAAAAGGTATCAAAGGAAGGGAATTGCAGGAGCTGCCTCATTTTTGTCGTCTTTCCTTTTCCACTCGAGATTCTCTTGCTCTGTAGGCTGGGGACATGCTGGTGGTCTGGCTGACCCCAGTAATCCCTCCCAGCCATATATCGTGGGGCTCTGAGATCCTGCCAGCCCAGCACCCCTCTGCCATGAGGAGCTTGTCCCACAGAGGCATCAGATGTGGCTCTGTGGGGCTGCAGCATCTGCAAGGGGCAGGCTGTGCTCGGTGTGTGCTGACAGCTCCCTAATGGCAAATCCCACAACACCAAGTAACGCAGACCAGTGTCTCCACTTGGGCTCATCTGTGCTCAAGGGAGCTTGCCAGTCTCCTTTGAATCCTTTGACAGATGTTTTCTAAAAATAAGGCTGTAACTGGAGCCAGCTGCTTGCCCTTTCCATTGGTTTTCTCATTCCAATCAAATTTGTTTTCCTTTGGCACAAGTTTTCATCCCAAAACCACTGGCTTCCCTGCCATGGAGGCCATGTAAGGAATTAGCAGACCACTGAGAAGATGACTCCAATCTACGTGGTTGCTTCCAACTGCAGAATTAGCTAGGGGGTGTTCGGGGTTTCAGTGAGGGAAGGGCAAGTTTTTTCCTTTTGTCTTGCAGTAGTTGTTGCCTGCTTTGGCCATAGGGGAGCAGTGTCTTCAGGGGGAAACAGCCTTCAGGCTGCCAAGGTAGCAGTGTAAAGCCCTCTTCTCATCCCTGCAGCCCTATGCAAGCTGCCTGGGGGGAACGAAGCTGCTCCAGCTGCTTGTGAATTCTTGGCATGGCTGTGTTGTCTGCAGAGGTTTGAGACAGCCCTTTCCAAAATCTGTGCTCTTAACCCAAAATCTTGTAGCCAGGGTCCTGAGGCGGTGCCAGACCCTTGGTGCCTGTAATGGATGGCATCTCAACATGGGCTTGAGGGCTGGCAGGCAGGACAATGCATGCTCTGCTGGGACAGCCCAGGGAGGAGCATGCCCCAGGGTTTGCAGAGAAGTTCCTGTTCTGAGATGTCAGTGATGTATTTGGGAACTCTCAGGACGTTCTTGCTGCAGGGAGCTGAGCTGCCCATTGTTTTCTTTTGATGTGAAGAGAAGTGACTAGGTTAAATATAGTCAGGGGAGCCATTGCTGTAATTACGACATTACTTGAGTCAGTAAGACGCAATGATCTGCTTACCTGGGAAGTTATGATGGCTGTTATTTTTACTGCAGGAGCACTCAGAGGCCCTGATGCATGAGGAGTTATGCAAAGCCAAAAGACAGCCAGCCTCCAGGAACCAATGGTCTCTCCTCAGAAATGCTGTTGGTACCTCTGCCTGCTGCAGGGTGGCTCTTGCATGATCCTGCTCCAGGCTGGAGAGCAGGAATGGGGGACTGGTGAAGCTCTAAGTGTTGGGTGTTACACCCTGGCCTCCTCAGCTTGCACCTTGTGTCCTGAGCTGTGGAGTGCAAGCATGTGTGTAGGACCCCAAATGCTGTGAAACATCAGGTCCCAGGTTATTTCCATGTGGTCTTCAGGGGGCTGCTAAAGTTGGATCCTCTTGTTCTGAACTGTCTCGCGCTTCTGTCTGCACCTGGCAATGCTTTGCTGCTCCATTAGCGCAAATGATCAGCTAGGTATTGGCACTTTGCCCCTGTGGACTGTAATTCCGATTTTTATTGGGTTTATAGATTGCTAATTAGTCACTCATTGTTACAGAGATTAAAATTTTTCTTTCAGCACCTGTCCTTGTTGACTCAGCTTATTTGAAGTCAGTGTGCATCAGCTTAGCAGATGGGCTGCCTTTTGATATCAGCAGCACTCCCTTGTCACCCATCCTGCAAATCTTCAGCCAGGGATGGTCGGGGCAGCCTGCAGGGTGTGTGGGCACCCTTGTGGGGTGCTCTTTGCCATGGCACTGTCACACAGGTGTCACAAAGCATAGGGAAGTAAGGAGGACGGGAACTGGGATTTCAGTCTCTTCTGGGAAGAATTCATTTTAGAAACAAGTTTGTGAGCCTTCAAGAGCAAGTCTGTTTTCAGCATATGGGAAATGGTCTGAGACTAGGTTGTGTTTAAAGAGCAGGTTGCAAAGAGGGGAAGGTACAGAAGCTTTCTTACCCTTGGGTGATGCTGGTAAAAGGCATTTCACAAAGACGTTCTGGGGTTGAAAGCTGACTTACGGACAAAACCAAAACTTCAGTAGAATTTTTTTTCTGGAACACTTAAAACTGTTATCTGAGAATCTCAATCTTGGAGAGTGCCATTACAGCTAAATGTCAGCTTTTCCCTTCCTAGGCTTTGAAAGTGCTTTTCTGCCTGTGCTTGCCATGTAGGCTGTGCAAGCCTCCTAATCTCCATCTTGTCAGCAGTCCTTCCCTGCCCAGGAGGGTGAGAAGGACTTGCTTTATGGTCCTCGTGAGTCAGAAACAACTTCATCCTGTCACCTCTGGTCACTTCTGTTCATCCCTGCAAACTAGTGGATGAGTGGATGCCTAATAGAAACCTTCCCTTGCATCAGGAAAGTTCTCTCATCTAAATAGGAAAGGGTCTTCTGGGCTACAATTAAGTGTGAAGGAAGGTAGGCAGAGGGAAATCTCCAGGCGAGTAGAGGCAGCGTTGTGTGCTGACATCTACTGTATTGATCTTTTTAAGTGGGGCACTGTCAATTCTTAATTTTCAAACAAATATTCAGAGGTTCAGTTTAAGCTTTGGGAACTCAGCATGCAGCATTGTCTGTGGCATTGTAAACTCTGTCAGGTAGAAAGATTTTGGCAGGAAACCTTTTAAAACACCAAAACTCCTGAACTGAAATTCTCAGAGGTAGGATTTTTTTAAACTTTCCCAGAACAAAAAGAAGCTTTGAGGTTGGAGCTGAGGACAAAACAAGCAGGAATGTGTGAAGAGTTAATGGTCTTGACAGTGCTCCAGTCTCTCCCAGCTGCAAGTCTCAGTGCTCTTCTGCCTTTTAAGCCTTTACAGCCACTGTGGGTGGGGACAAATTAAAGCCACTTGGATATGAGGCCAGCAGCATTAGGAGCTGTTGTACCACATGCTTACCTCAGGAGATTCCTTGCTGGCTCTCATGCTGTTGTCCTGCCCATTTCAGAGAAAATCAAGGCAATGCAAACTCAAGTGGGACATGATGAGACCTTTCTTAAAACTCTGGGGGGTCTCAGGGACATAGCTGGGGGCTTCTTCCATGGGATTGAGCTCTACTGATGGGTTTAACCACTTGTTTCCAAATGCTGGGGTAGCAGGTAAGTTGAAGCAGGTCATATCCACAAATAATTGGTCTCACTCCAGTTTCAAAACAAATCTGTCAGTCCCAGGGACCTTTTTTTGTGCTCCTTGTGGTTGCCTCATCATTACAAATGCCCACTCAGTGGCTGGCTCAAAACCAATATTACATGAACAAATAGATTATTTTCTGCTAACAATCCCTGAAACAAACTACTTGCTACTATCAGCCCCAAGCCTACATGATGCAATTAAATGGGACTGTGGCAGTTGGTCTTGTATAGAAGTCCCATTCATCCTCTGGGAACAGGAAGATCTAATTTTATTAGATTCATTATCCTTTCTTCAGGAATTAATAGCTCCTGAGACTGTTGGCCTAATGTGCCCGATTTTATGTTGTAATTCAACAGCGTCATGAAAACTGCTGGCTTTATCCAACCAATCCACTAGCCCTTCTCACCTGGTAGTGAGGATGCTGTGTGTGCATCCAGAGCTGCCCTGTAGCTTCTCTGGTGTGCTGCTGTAGACCAGATTCAACGCAGACCTGTCCTGTGGGGTAGCAAATTTAACTTTTTTTTTTCAGTGCCCTGTGAGACAGCATGCTTTGCAGCTAAAGAAAGCAGGGCAGATGAAAAAGCTGTCGTGCTTTGCATGGAGGACACAAAAGGAGCAGTTTCCTTATGAATTTCCAGGCTATTGAATGATGTAGAGGAAATGTCTGTAGCTGCTATATGATACGATGTTTGCTGGCTGCTGATAAAACAGGAGGTCATTTCACCATTTGTGGGAGTTTTTTTCTGGGCTGAAACTGCACTGACTGAAGCTTCTGGAGCTTTCTTTCCCCTTACTGAAGATGTATGGGAGGGCACTTGATATCTAACTGCATATTTTAGGTATCTTAGGGGTGTATTCACATTGTTTTCTACCATGTTTAATTGCTTTTGAAATAGGGGGGAGGGATCTGTTATTGACTGAGGAATCCCAGTTCTAAATAAAGAACTAAATTTGTAACTCTTGCAGTGTTTGTAATTGCCTTCCAGACAAAGCAAGGTCAGGGGTGAGAACACCTTTGCTGGGGAGAAGAAAGGACATACAGATAAATATCTCTTCCTCTTAAGTGAGTATATACCAGCTGAGCACTAGGTAACGTGATCTGGGACGGGAGGACTGCCTTGGGGCTTGGTTTCTTCCAGGGGAAGGGTCTCTGCCTCTGCAGTAGCAGCACTGAAGCTTGCTTGTGGCTGGGATGAGTTTTTGGTCCAAGACTGCCAAAGGTAACTGATGCTCATCTGTGGTGAGCTGCTCTTGCTGACCTCCACTTCCCATGCATTTCACAGCCACTTTATTAAAAATAAGCCCTCAGCTAGTGATATGGATTGAAACTGAAAGATGTTTTTCAGGGATGACCGCATCCCTGCCTGGCCATTAGGAAAGAGCTGTCCCCAAGTGCACATCTTGTTGTGGGAGGAGGAGGAACCTTCTCCGTGAGGGGTTGCTAGCACCTGTGGGGAGCAGGCCTCAGTGCTGAGAGGGGACATCAAGGGCTTCTGTGTTACTCAGGGTTGGTTTTCAGCAAGTTCTCTTGCTATTTTAGAGCTGAGAGACAATGTTGGTGAACGAAGATCCTGTTGTGCTAAGGATGAAGAGGCAGCTCTGTCCCCACCAAAAGTGGCACTCATGCTATAGGATGATGAGTGCAGGCCAGAGGTGTCAGGTCACAGCCAGCCTTCAGCTAAGTGTCCACAGCAGCACATCTGTTCTGTGTTCACGGGCTTTGCCAAATAGTCTTCATTTCCCTGTGTTGTTTCCAGTGCTTCTACAAAGGAGTTAGTGTGAGGGAAGATCTTGCCTGGGCCCTGGATTTGTGGTGGTCTCTGCTTGGTACAGCTTCCTCAGCCATGGTACGAGCTGGGAGCCTGATAGATCTGCTGGCTGGTATAAGACAAGGTCTTGCGATGGTTGCCTGAGACGGGAGAGGGAAGGAGCATCCTCCCCAACCAGGGAGCTGTGCCTGATGAGTCACTGGCCAGGGGAGCAAGGCTTTAAGGCAGAGTAATGCAATGAAGTGATTAAAAAGAAACAGTAGAAATAACCATCAGTGAAGATGAATAAACTTTAATGTCTGAAAGGACTGTTATATCATCTAGGTTGCTCTGTGTCATGTGGGCTATATAGCATGAGATTTGAGCCCTGTCCTGAGCTCAGTGCAGGTCTGTCTCCAGATCTCAGCAGCAGAAGAACGCACAGCTTCTTTGGGCAGCCTTCTCCATGGGCTGAGTGCCCTGGTGAAAATGAGTCCCTTTTTCTCTTCTGAGTTTGTCTAATTCCACTGTCCAGCCACTGCTTTGTCTTCTGAGAGAAGAGCAACATGTACACTGCCTGAAACGGGTCCTTGCCATGCTGTTGTAGGGAGATGGCTTTGCATTGTTGCTCTAAAGTGCTTCCCCAAATTTAACTGTGCAACTTGAGGGGATGCTGTGCAGGTAACAAGCAGCTGTGTTGGACAGCACATTACTGCAATATCGCCTTCCTGCACCCGTGCTAATGCCCAAGTAGTGGTCCTCGTGGCCCTGCAGCATTCAGCAGCCGGCTCAGGGGGGATTTGCTGAGCTGCAGCGGGGGGTTCCGGGCTGATGTGCCCCGGGGTGGGGGCTGCAGCCGCCGGGTGGCACTGCTGCCCTGCTCAGCCGCTGGTGGAGCTGCGGTGATCCGGGAGGTAAAAAGGGATGATGGAGCCTGACATGGCGCTCCTGCTGGCTTCTTGCTGCTCTTGTGCTGGTCTCCTCCAGCCTTAGGGAAAGAGGCGTGTGTAATTGCGGGTGTCCTATAGCAAGGAACAATACAGGACACCTTCATCTCCATATGACAAGGAGGCTGTGCCACTTTCCCAACCTCTCTGATAGAAAGGAGATTGGCCGCCCTGCAATATACAAAGAACTATTGCTGCTGTTCCTGTGCCTGCACCATGTACCTGGTTTGACATCTTGTAGTCAAGCTGAATGGTTATTTCTGCTTCCAGCCCTTGCAGTCTTGAGTGTACTGAGATGGCCTCAGACCCTGCGATCTTTTTTGCTTTGTGCTGGGTGGTCAGGGGAGATATCTGCAAGGACTGGGCTTAGCTTTTTGCTCCCTTTTGGAATCTGAGCTTTTAAATGTGAAATGGTGAAGTGAGAAACACTAGGTGGAAGATCTGCAAGGAGAACGAGAAATGATGCCTTTATGGATGGTGCTCAGAAAGTTTTCAGGTTCTCCTTCTCCTGGATTCAGTTTTGCATCTCCTCCACAGCACAGATGCAGCCGGAGGAACTTAGGCCCTGGGAGACAGAAGAGTGCTGACAAGAGGCCAGAGACAGTTCACAAGAAGAGAGAAATGGATAGAAAAACTTTGTGTGAGATCAGCAAATGAAAAGTCAACCACTTGACCTTCTCTGAACTTATTTTAAATCTATCAGGCATGGAGAAAATTGAGACCATAACTCAGGATGCTCCTGTTGGTCGCATTGCCATTTCCATTACTCTGGGCTGTTTGTCTTAATTGAGATGGAGCCTATCCTATGACTAATTGTCAGGTCACACTGGCTCTAAATTAAAGAGTATATTTTTACTTTTTAACAACTTGGAAGTCCAGTTACTGGCACGTTTCCTCCAGAAGTCTGTCCTTTCCCAGGCAAGCTAACTATAGTGTCCAAGTTCAGACTAACCTACATTTTTTATTATAAGGCTGATCATGTTCCCATAGTGCCTACACATGAAATGGCACAAGTGGGTGCCTGCATGTTTTTCTTTGGCCTTGGGAGTTCACAATATGGATGAAGGCAAGAAAACTGCTTCCTGCTCAAACAAGCTCACATAGGTTCATCAGGAGTAGGCCATGCCAGTCCAACCAGTTTGCTTCCCTGTGGATGAACTGGAGGATGCTTTGGGAGAAAACGTGGAGTGATACAGCAGAGAAAACTGCCTGAAGGCCAGAAGGGGAAGGAGTGACAGGGCAGCAGGGGAATGCGGGGTGCGGGGAGGGAGGGGGACACGGGACGGGCTGCAGCAGCTCCCATGCCCCATGAGGCAGCCAGGTGGTGGTACAGAGGTCAGAAGCAGACTGGGAGAGGCATGGGCTTATCCTTCTGTGCTGGCCAGTACTTCTGGTGTCTGCACGGCTACACTCACCTGACTAATGGGGGAGAGCTACAGGAATGCTCAGAGGGCTGGAAAGTATGATGGGAGATCAAGTAAAATGTGGTTTAGTCTAGAGAGGAGAAGACAGAGTAGATGTGATACCTTTTCACACACCTGAAGGCTACATCAAAGGAGGAATGAGATTCTCCACGCTTATGGTGGTCAGTGCCAAGCCCTCTCTGTGGGGCACTAGTACAGCCTCAGTGCTCTGATGGCTTTCATGATGGTTGTAGGAACTAGATGCATTTTAAACTTAGCATACTCTGTCCAGCTGAAGGAACTGTGAATTTCCTTAGAAACTTGGCTCTAAATGTAGCTTCAGTTCAGCCTGTGTCACCATGGATCTGCTGGGTGTTCGTGCCTAGGACATGGCTGCGAGGCTTGGAGCACAGAGCATGTCTCAGTCCCAGTGACATTACTTATTAGTTGTCTCATTAATCAAGTAAGCCTGCCATCCCAGGGCTGCAGGGAGTTCTTGTCACACAGGATGCTGTCAGGGCTTTGTCATCTCCAGGCACCTATGAAACACAACTCCCTCGGCCTCTCTTGCTCCAGCACCAACTGATGAGTGGCCTCTGGGTCCCATCTGAGCTGGAGGAGCCATGGAGCACAACTGGAGCCTGCTGGGGCTCCCATGTCCTTCTCCTGTGTGGTGATGTCCACCAGAGGTTGTTGCTCACCAGGTGAGGCCCTGGAGTGGGAAACCCACTGAGAGAGGTCCAAGAAATTGTTGGGGTTGCAGCCATATGGAAGACATGAACACCTCCATGGTGGAATGAAAGCAATGAAAGAGCAGAGCTCCATCATCAGGAGCAGGCAGGGCAGCAAAGTGGGAATGCAGCATGTGTGTGAGTAACATGTACTGCTAGCCCTACAGTAAGCAGCTTCTAAAGGGGGAAAAAGATTGGAAGACATTAGATTGTGTTCATAAACTAAGTCTGGGCCTCAAGATGTCTTTAAAAAGACCAGTGAGTACAAGTCTAGTCAGATGAAGGGCAGTGGACAGGGAAAAGCTGCTTAGAATGGTAAGGGACCGGTTAATCAAGTGATATGGATTATTCAGTTCAGTAAACAAACATAATGGCCTCTCGTTTCTGTGGTGGCATCCTCATGCCTCTGTGGATTTGTCCTCCACGCTGCTTTCTGGGGTGTTGGAGAAAACAGCAGGGCTGAGCAGTGGGAAGCTGTTAGCATAGAGGGGGCTTGAGCGGGGCCTGAGCCAAGCTGCAGGATAAAAGAAAACGTGCTTCCTTCCCATGTTTTATAATGTATGTGTGTGCTGGGGTAGGCCTCCAATAAAGCAGTACTCCAGATCCTCTTCATCTGCAACTGAAAGCCTGCAGGCATCTGGTTTGCTGAGGGGTGTTCAGTTAGTGCTGGGCAGAAGCTGGAGCTCTGTGATCTCTGAGCCTCTCACAAGTAGGCGAAGGAATTCTCCTGCAGAAAGGTTGCCAGAGAGCCTGCACTGGGTAGCTGGAAATATTTTCCAGCCCTCTGATTGCTGTGTTACTGTCCACTGTACTATGAACTGGGTTGGAGAAGCACTCCCTTTGGAGCAGTGGGCATGACAGGGTCCTGCAAGTGACCACACTGCTCGGGGTGTTCCAGGAGCTGTCAGTGTGCTTCCAACACCAAGATCCTGCTAGGCAGAGCTCTGGGATCTGTGCCTGCACTTCTTTCAGATTTCAGCCCACTCTTGACCCACTCAAACAGCAGCAAGTTCCTTGCTGCCTCTTTGTAGGACAACTTAAATGCATTTCTTTTTCAGTGCTGGTCTCCCTGTGAATCTCTTTGATGCAGAACTGGCTATTATAAGTCACAGAAAGCTCTACCCCACTGCTATATCTGCCCACAGCAAGCCCTGCAGCCTCCCATGGGAGCTGGCTGCCTGTGCCTTGACCCCTGACTGCTGCCACAGCCGGCTGTGGTTAGCCCAGCAGCAGCCAAATTCTCTCACCCTTGAAATTCTCCCTTTGAAACTCCACCCCAAAGCTGGGGGGGATTCAGTTTTTTCTCCTTGACCTTATCCTAAGCCCTTGGCACTGAGGTGCGCTGGACTGCACCTCCAGTTACAGTACAAGGTTTCTCACCCTGAGAATGTAGCAGCCCAAGTAAGGGGCTGGGATGTTTTGTTAAAGGGTGCCTTGGAAGTGACTGGGGGGGCGGGTGGAGACAATTACACCTCATCAAGACCTTGCAAAGGCATGTTGACAAAATTGTCTATTTTCTGTTTGAGCAGCCAATTTGCAGGAGCAATCACTGCCACAGCAGGGAGTAAATTAGGTGAGCAATTGTGCCCTTGTGTTCTTAACATATTATCCGTATGGTTCTCACCTCTCTTCCCTGACATTCTTTATCTCTACTACCAGCAACCCATCCATACTCCAGCAAGCTTGGCTGATGTATCATAGAGCCATTACAATGACTCCCAAATACAAGTACTTTGGGCAGGCTTGACGGAGGCCGTGCTGGTGAACTTGGTGCCTTGGCAGTAAAATTAACAAATGGTGCTGTCAAATCTGGGGTCTTGCCTTGATGAGGGAAACAATGCTGCAGTGCTATCTCCGCTAATAAAATTGCTCCTGCTGAGCTGTGCTGCAATAGCAGTGTTCTGATAAGTGGCTGCGTGTGTTTAGCTTGATGCATCATTATTGATACTTGTTAGCATGATGAAAGCTCAAACACCATCATTGCTCAACCACTCCACATTGTGAAGGGGCAACCTCGAAGCCTCTCTGCAGAACTGATGGATGTGAGGCTGCCTGTGGCTGATGGTGATGAGTTCTGAGCTGTATGCGGGGGAGAATAAGGCAATGGTTACCAGTGCTATCACCTTAATTGGGAGTTCAAGTTCATGGTGTGGCTGCTTGACCATCAATGCTGTTTGCATGTTGGTGTGGAGTGGGACTGGTAGCTGCTGGTTAAGGGATGGTAGGGGTTTAGCTTTCACACAGCTCATGCCCCTGGGCTCTCACTTAGACTCCCAGTGCAGTTTAAATGCGGATTTTGGTTAGCTATCTGCTCTCTTCAGGGAGCTTCATCTGAAACCTGCAAAAATGCATGTTACAGAATAGGTAGCTGTTGAAAATTCTCTTGCCAGCCCCATCTCATTACTGCTTGGATGCTGCTGATGGGAGGAGAGCTGTGTCATTCCTGTGTCGGCTATAAATGAGCAGGAATCAGTTTTTGTTAAATTCCGGTTGCATGGGAGCTCTGATAGCACGTTGTGGTGTTATTACTGCTGCTCAATTGTCCAATGCATTTGCTTCCAAAATGTCTCCGGGATGAGCTGATCCCTGCTGCTTTGAGACTTTGCAGACCTGTTTATTATCTGGTAAAGCCTGGTGTTATGTTTGGCATCAGCCTTGCTATCCTTAGCTTTCCATTGGGAGCAGAAGGGAAGAAATGTGCAACTGAAGATAAAAAAAAGAAAAAGGAAAACTTCCTGGCAGATTAGATGCTGAGGATCTGCTGGAGCTGGGCATTTCCATGGGGACTTACTACACTCCAGAGCAGCAGCTGCTGCTTCCAAACTGGCCAAGCTGAGAGTCATGTTATTAGCCTTCAGAATTCAGGGAAGTAGCTCAGAAATGGAAGATTAAGTCTAGAACAGTGTTTTCCTCTTGCCAGTGTTCAGGCAAGCTGCTGGCTACAATGAACAATGATACAACAGCTGCTGCATGAGGCAGAGAAGTCCTCTGCTTCTTCTTTCACCTGCTCCATTAGGTTTCATTAGGTAGTCTCCCTCCGGGATGTAGCTTGATGCAAGAGCTGCTGCTGTGCCCAGATAAGTCACTGGCCGCAGTTAGGAACTCTTGTGGGTGCAGCACAGGCAAACAAAGGAATTTCATGTGGTGAAAGTTTGTGATTTGCCTCTGAGGTACATTTCCTAAAGATGCTGGTGATGATCTTGAGGTCTCTTCCAACCTAGAAATTCTGTGATTCTAGGCTCCTGGACACCTGGTCTCATTTCCCATGCACCATCATCTATGAATGGGATTTGGCCTTTTATTCCAGAGGAAAACACAGGCCTCCCCAGGCAGGCCTGAGCCTACAGGAGCTAGCATTATCCGAGCACATTCGTTATGGTTAAAGGGCCTTGTCTCATAATTCTCTCTATAAATTACACATTGATTTAAAATTATTATTACAAGATGGCTAGCTAATGATTCTTCCCCTTTGATTATTTATAGGGCATTTACTCTGTGTTAGCGGTGGCTGCTGGGATGGGTTCCAGGCTTGGCAGGGTTGGTGAACCATTGCTTGGTCCCTTTCCATTCAGGGGGTGTCGCAGCACTGTGGTGGGAGCTGAGGAGGGCAGAAGCTGTGCCAAGTGCTCCTGCTTTGCTGCTGAGCACTAGTCTGCAGGCCAGCAGTGCACCTGCAGGACACTGGGCTGCAAGGAATTAGGTAGGATCCGGTCCCTCTTGGGGAGGCTGAGGTGT